TGAGTACTACAGGCTCGTCCTTAAACTTGTTCTGAAAAAGTGCGAGGAGGAAATGTGAAATCAAATTAAAGAAGGTAACATCACTTTTCAACAGTATTCCTAGCAGAAAATGCACTTCAAACAATCGACTCAGTCACCATGAGATGTACATCACAAGTTGAACCAAGACCATGGCGAGGACTTTCACTGAAAAGCTTTTCATACTGAATTTTGAGGCGTGATTTTCGTAGTTTGAGTGTGGACCAAGGAAAACTGCTATTATCATTTTTCTTTTCACAACGACAAAAAAAAAATGATGTATATAGTATGGTACAGCATGAAGATGAAAGCTTTGTCGAAAAGTTGTTAACTCGTTTGACTTATAATTGCACAAAAATTCTACCAGTCATCAATTAAAATTTCTCATGAAAAGAGAGAAAAGGCAGGCAGCTAATCCTACTTTGGGAAAAGTCACACCTGCACAGTTTGTTCCAGACCACCATTTCTGCATCTTGATTTCTCCCGTCATTCCCTCGGGCTGTGCTCCCTGATACGCCATCCAATCAACAGTCGTGAATGGATTAAAGTTCTTACTCAATCTCCCAGATGGCATTGCGCAAACTGTAAAATTCTTTGTATTGATGTTTTCAGTCCAGGAAGTAATGGCTTCGTGGACAGTGTCAGAATCGTTTAGATTCATATGATTGACGGTTATCTGCACATGGACCGGTATATCTGGATAAAAGTGGTATGGCGGAAAAGCAACCGTCTGGCAGCTTGAATCGGACCACTTTGGAACAAGAAGAAGTTCTACTCGACCATGCACAATCGGGAAACCTGTCAATGAATTTAAACAGTTAGTCATTGCTATCATTTCCTAATTGTCACATCTTATTTTAAGTAACTTACCTATAGAAAGAATGTAAAGACAACTGGAATATCATCACAGACCTGATATCTTTAGATTTTAATTTAGAAAGACTGCCTTATATGTAAACAGAAGCATATGTAAATGAGCGAGCAAGCACTGAATCTGTCAGTGAATAAATACTTCATTGCAGCATATTTCTTTTAAAATTTCTCTCTCCGATTTGAATATAAATGTTATGAGTCCCTTTCAGGTAAAGTTGCCCAATTAGTTTCAAACTACAGAAACCGGAACCACATGCGCTGGAACAGATAAGCCATCCACCTCTTGCAGTACCAGATTAGGACAGACACATACATTTTCAATTTAACACAAAACCATTGCTTACCCTCACAGCTTCCTGGGTGATACACAAGATTATTCTCCAGTCCTCTACAGTAGTACAGCTCATGCCAGCATTTGTTGTCGTGTGTTGTTCCATTCGCTGTGCACACTGGGTCATGATAGGAAGGGCAGTCTTCGTAACACACACAGCGAGCTTTATGAGCGCTGAAAGTCTTACACACTCCAAATGATGGACAATGCACGTCAAGGCACGGGTTTAAGTCTGCAAAGCAAAACAATATTTTCGAGTTGGTTTGTGAGTGATAGAGGATACCACGTGGAACATTAACCCTTTTTTCTCATTTGAGAAACACAAGCCGTTTTGCCTTTACTACTGTATTACATTTCGATTTCATAACCGGGGAGTATACAACTAACAACTAATGATATCAGCAAGTGATCAAGTTTAAACTGAAGATTTGTTCCTAAATGACCCAATTTGTTATTTTAGTAGTCGTTCAAAATTCTTAGTACTAAAGGGTAGGTAGTCAATCGCTCAAAAAGCTGTCAACTCTTCTAAACATTATTTTTGGACACATAAACTGAAAGAATTCAGTGTGAATTTAATTTGTAAATGACTGAACCTTTCTCCTTCAGGATGACCGAGTGTGTAATGATGGGATTTAGTTTTATCCAGAGTAAGATGATAAATAGTACATAATACAAACCTCCAATAACAACATAGCTGACAGAGAGAGGGTCTTGTTTACTTCCTGATCCACTCAGGTCTTTGACGCAAATCCTCATGGCTGTCAGACCGACTTCCTAAAGGAGAGTGAAATATTAAACGTCAAGTGACCTTTTATAATAAACGATTTTCTTACATTGTTGATAAGATAAAGACTTTTTAGGATACTGTGTTTACTGTTTTTACCCGTTAGTTTCCGAGAGAATAACGAGAACAAACTGCCATTGATTGATAGGCATGCCAGACAGAGTTATGTCCTACCTCGACCCAGGCNTGGGTCATGATAGGAAGGGCAGTCTTCGTAACACACACAGCGAGCTTCATGAGCGCTGAAAGTCTTACACACTCCAAATGATGGACAATGCACGTCAAGGCACGGGTTTAAGTCTGCAAAACAAAACAATATTTTGGAGTTGGTTTGTGAGTGATAGAGGATACCACGTGGAACATTAACCCCTTTTTTTCTCATTTGACAAACGCTAACGTTTTGCCTTTACTACTGTATTACATTTCGATTTCATAACCGGGAAGTATACCGTAACAACTGATGATGTCAGCAAATGATCAAGTTTAAAAATTTGTTCCTAAATGACCCAATTTATTATTTAATAGTCGTTCAAAATTCTTAGTACTAAAGGCTAGGTAGTCAATCGCTCAAAAAGCTGTCAACTCTTCTGAACATAATTTTTGGACACATAAACTGAAAGAGTTCATTGTGAATTTAATTTGTAAATGACTGAACCTTTCTCCTTCAGGGTGACCGAGTGTGAAATGACGGGATTTAGTTTTATCCAGAGTAAGATTATAAATAGTACATAATACAAACCTCCAATGACAACATAGCTGACAGACAGAGGGTCGTGTCTACTTCCTGATCCACTCAGGTCTTTGACGCAAACCCTCATGTCTGTCAGAACGACTTCCTAAAGGAGAAGTGAAATATTAAATGTCAAGTGACCTTTTATAATAAACGATTTTCTCACATTGTTGATAGGATAAAGACTGTTTAGGATACTGTGTTTACTGTTTTTACCCGTTAGTTTCCGAGATAATAACGAGAACAAACTGCCATTGATTGATAGGCATGCCAGACAGAGTTATGTCCTACCTCGACCCAGGCTGTTATTATACTGTATTCTGGTGGAATGTGGTTCTTTACTTTATGATCGTAATCGTGATGTACAGACACAAGGACAACTGGTGACTCATAAAAGGTGGTGTTGAACTGTACTTGCTGTGAAGAGAAACAGAAAAGGCGTTTAAAAGAGTCAAATTGCAATTTTCCTCTGCAGTAAGATTTAACACCAAAGGAATATCAGAGAATAGTCTTCGTAATTGAAATTTTGTTGAATGCGATAATGTGTTTGTTGGATCACCCTTCAAATTTGCAATAGCTCATAATGTCAGACTTATCATCTGTCACATATCTTGCTGTGAATAGTTATTATTTAGCAATAAACCTGGCTATCCGGATAATATCCGTTCAATTGGACCTAGGATTATAGGTTTATACGCACTGGAATTTAAAATGAATCAGTGTTAGGTTTAGCATAATTCTAAGAATAACAATAGGTAACCGCTCACGCTCGTTCAATCCCCTACGGTTTTTGTTTTGCTTGCGCTCTTTAAGATCCGAAGAGAAAATCAAAGGTCTTTGGAGAGACTAGTATCTTCGATCTAGAAAGAAAGCGTTATTATCTTCACATAATTTTTGTGTCTCTACAAATTCAGCGGATCATAGTATTGTTGGAAAAAGCTAAAATTAAACCATCCTGTAACAGACTTGTCCTATAACCCTGTAACAAATTACTATAGCCTGTGTGAAAATGAAACAATTTTGCAGCATGTCTACTACACAGATATCGTCATCATAATCATTATCATTATATATACCAAGTTGCCTCGACTTTTCTTATAAAATTGTTCGTAACACTTGGACTGCTATTCTCCAAGATATTAGCGTTTATGCTATACCATGGCAATTCAGTTTTCCCAGCGTATGCCGGTAACTTTCCTCACTGTTACTGCCTGTATCCCCAAACCTGAGCTGTTTAACTGGCAGATGTGTCTTGTCAGTGACGAGAC